TCTGAGGAGAGAAAGGGACTGATGTGGCTACTACTGCTCCTGTGGCCAAAGGGCCATCGCGGGTGGTGGTGGTGTGACATGGGGCTGGCCTGTCCAAGTCCATTGGTGACACTGCAGCCTGGCCATGTCTGGAAGGGACAGCCACACACTGACACCTTGTGATGGACAAGAGGAAGAGCAGCTCAGCTGCATGGCCTAGCAGCCGATGTTACTGTTGGATTCATGTGTAACTACAGTGGGATGCTCTTATTAATAAGATACTTTTAGGACCTGGCACCCACCATGAGATCTTTGTAGGCATGTCTAGGTACATGGCAGCTCAGCATCTTCCCAGACACAGCCACACGGTTGCTGTTGGCCACAAGATTTGTGCTAAGGGTCCTGTCCCAAATGCTTTTGGAAAACATGTGTTGCATCTTGTTGTGCCTGTCCCTCAGAGTCCCTCAGCTGCCAACGTGTCCCAGAAGACTTGGGATTACAGGGCAGGAGGGTTCCTGGCTAACCTCAGGACCAAAAGTAGTGGAAAGTCACTCTTCAATATCTGTCAGTTCTGCATGTGGCTCATCTGACAGCACTACCTGGATCACAGATGCTATCAGTCCTGAGTGTTGCAGATCCTTTTCATCTGCTGTTTACTGTTTGATTTTATTTCTCTCATCTCAGAACAGGGTGGAGGTTTGTTGTTTTCCCTCACCATCAGTTTCTGCAGTTTGGAGGCAAACTCTTATTGGCTGGTCACGTCTGATCTCTTCCTCATTGCTTGTTTTGACCACACAAGCCAGTCCCTGGGCAAGCGGCACGGGGACGAAGTGGAGACCACGAACACGGCGCTGTCCGCCCACCAGCACCTCGCTGCGCTCCAGGCACTGCCGGCTCTGAGCCCCAGGGCGACCCTGTTCAGAACAACGTGCATTCCCCAAGCGGTGCGCCGCCAAGGATATTCAATATTTCTTGACTGATTCTTCAAAGCTGGACTGTAAAAGCCACCATAACATTATTTCTCCCCTGCTGATTTGGTGCTTAGGCCTTTTATTTGCTCAGCAAATTCTCACCCAGTGCAAAAAGCTCAAATGAAGACTTCAGTAAAGCAGCTGGTCCTTCCTGGGTGCAGAGTCTGTGCTCTGATCCCTGTCTGTATCCGACCAGGAGGCAAGGAGAGTCCCACAGTCAAAGGGCACAAATGGATCCCTGCTGCCATCTAGGAACTGCTGGTGCGAGGAAGTCCTGGTTCTACTTTGCCAGATGCAAATACCTTTCCTGGGGAGTCTAAGAGCAAGTGTTAGAGCTGGCAATGGAGACAGCGGCACTGGAATGGGTCACACCAAGGCTCCTACTGGGTTTTGGACTGCTGTGGGAACAATCCTGGGATTCAAAGATAAAATTTCCATTTTTATTATTTTAGCTACTGATTTGCTGATGCTTCTCACAGCAGAAAACCCCTGAGCTGGCCATGGCTGGTCAGAGGTTATCTGGAAAGGTTTTCAAAATGTTAAGTCCTGCAATAGCAAGAAGCTAAGGGAAGAGGCAGGTACAGCTGTGGGAAAGGAGAGTTTTGTTATTTGCAAATTTGAATTTGGATGCTCAGGGGAGAAGAAAAATCTTCAGGAAAACAAATTTGAACCATTTTATTTTTCTCTTTCCAAAAAATATGTTTGGGGGTTTCAAAGCCATGTGTCTTTTGAAGATTCACCCCAAGCTTCCAAGCACTGCCTGTACTGACACATGTGAAATTTTCACTGTGATAACAGGCAGAGGTTGTATTTAGGTGAGGATGGATGTGTAGGAAATGCACTGTGTCCTTGTGTGGGATAAGACTGAAAGAACAGAGTCTGCAGCAGTCCCTGTGGTGGGTCCTGTTCTTCAGCACCCTGTACGGACACTTCAGAAGGTACCATCATACAGCTGCAACAAAATTATAATCCAAGCGTCATTAAGACAGTTTTCCTCCCACTTTATTCTAATGAGGTATTAATTTGAAACAGCAACCTAGAAAAAAAAAAAGTAGAAACCCTACTCATTTCTGTTGGTGCATCAGAACTGATGTTTGAGGGTGTTAGGAGAAATAACAGTACAAACCAAGCATTTGATTCAGAATATCCCAGGGCAGGTTTATTCCCTGCTGGAAGAAGATTCTTTTTTGTTGTTGTTGTTGTTGTTGTTTTTTTTTCAAGGGCCTGGTAAATACAGGTGTCTGTGTGAAGTGGACTGCTCTGGCTGGGAGTGGGACCATGCATGGCCATGGCACAGAGTGGTGTTATGACTCACTGCAGGTTCAGCTGGAGGGAATGACTCCTTATAGCAAACTGCCTCTGTCCTTCCCTGATATCTTGAATTTTGCTGTGTCTGCATAGACTTGCAGAGGAAAGGTGGGGAGACAGGGCATAAGGGTCCTCTGCCAGGCTGGACAGATGTGGATGGATCTGGCTCCCTCCATTGAACTGTTCCCTCCCAGGGAAACTCCTGGATAAAATTGACTGCTAAGTAACAAGGAAGTACCTGGCAGAGCTGGATGGTACATTTCCCTGGTGTTCGTGTCACCTTTGACATTAGTGAAGGGAACCCTTCATCATCCCTACTCGCTTGTTAATCATAGCAGGACGTTTAAACTCAAGGTGCTTTTGTTTTGTAAATGCTCAAACAGATTCCACATTGCTTCTGCTTTGCAGGTGTTCCCTTCCCCAAGCAGTTCCAGCAAGTTTGCACTAAGATCCTCACCCGTCTCTTCCGTGTCTTTGTCCATGTCTACATCCACCACTTTGACAGCATCATCAACATGGGTGCTGAGGCTCACGTCAACACCTGCTACAAGCACTTTTACTACTTCATCAGGGAATTCAGCCTTGTTGACCATCGGGAGCTGGAGCCTTTGGTAAGGATGTCCCAGGGATGGGGAGGTGGAGGGGCTGAGAGCAGCATGGGTTGAATACAACAGGGGTGAATTCACGTGGGTTTGGACCCTGGCCACTGCAGCCTCCCCCTGTGGACTCTCACCAACCCGACCTCAAGAGCTCGACCATGTTTGCTCTCATGTGACTATCACCCTTGGTTCTCTGAGGGAGAGCTTCACAACCCGTGAGTCTTCAAAAACTCCTTAAACCCCGCCTTGTCACAGTTGCCAAGAATCACTCCTTGGCACTCTGACTCAGGACCACCACAACATAGTGGTCCACCTCTATACTGTCTTGGTAACTCTTAAGAAATTTGCAGACCAAAATGTCTTCAGCTAGTTGTGTCCATGTGGCCTTCAAGGATAAGATTTGAATGCAAAAATCTCCTCTCCACAGACCTGAATTTTCCCATGAGGGGACTAATGTTCCAGCTTGAGATCCTAACGTTAAGTTTAATGAGACTAGAGAAAGGCAAACCCCGACAAGGCGCACAGCTTTCACAGCAGCTACAAAGATGGAATTGGAGAGGCCTCCCTGGAGCTCCAAGTTTCCCCATCCTCCCTTGGGAAGCAATTAGACAGCAAGAGTCTTTAGCTACAGCAGGACAAGAAGGGGAGCAGAGACCAGACAGCCCAGGCAAATAAATTAGAAAACCCACATAGCTGTGTTTGTAAGGGAAGCAAGTGTGTCACAGGCAAGGCTGAGTGTGGTCTGACCTAGGCAGGTCACGTAGCAATAGCTAAAACGATTAATTGGGAACCTACTCATTAATATGCTGTGATAGGGGGATGGATTGCAGAAAAGAGCATGTGCAATAGCACAGAGCCAGCGAAGATGAACAGCATGTAAGCCTACAGAGAAAAAAATAGGGACTTTGGTACTAAGTGCTTTAATTTCTTCTCTGCTTTCATTTCTCTCAGTCAATTTTCTGCCTGTCTGCTCTAATCCTGATTTAGAAAGGGAGATGATAACTTAACCAGGGGGACCTGAAGACAACAGCATCTGTGTTAGCTGCTTCATGTAGTTTGATTATGACCTACGTTGTCACGACGGCCTCAGCCATAAAATATGGCAGCTCAGTCGCAGTGTCCTCTGTTCCTTTTCCTCACCACCACTCTTCATGACAAACTTCTTTAGCATTGATTTACAGCCCATAATGGTGTCATCTCCTTTGACTGATGCTTGCTAATGTAAATAATTAACAGCTAATAGCCAAAGGAGAGTCTGGTATTGCTAAATAGGTTTCCAGTGCCAGTGACTCACATGCACAGTGGCATGATTTATGGCTCTGAACGAGTCTCAGATGAATAGGTTCTCCAGTGTGATGAAACCAGGGCTAAACTACAAGGAAGGGAGGAGCATTTATATTGTTGGTATGCTCATGGCCTGGCATCTGAACCCGGCAGCAGACTCAAGCACCTGGAAGACCTTCCTGCAGGCAAGGACTTGCTGTACGTGCGTATGCGAGTGGCCTCGTGCAGCCGGAGAATGGCTGCGTCCTGGATGCACTGCTGGGCTCTGGAGGGAGGGACAAACTGCTGGAGCTTGTGAAAAACTTTCAAAGATCGTCCCTGCTGATGCATGAGTGATAGCAGGACTGTGTTACCCCAGGTCTTTCTGTATAATCCTTTTTGGAGACACTAAGCTGGCAGGAGTTGAGGAGAACTCTGCTTGTGTTTTGGAGCACATGTGGGGATCTGGAGGGTGGCATTTGTGTTGTTTTGGTTGTGCTTCAGCAGTTGTGAGCTCAAGTAATAGGATCAAACCTCTGCAGCATTTTCCACTTGACCTCAGCCCACTTTCCTTTGGCAAATTACTCTCTCCAGCCTGGGAGATTTGCTTCGATCATTCCTTTTCTCACTGGGCTGCACCATAGTTATCTCTATGATTCCTCGTGTTTTTAAGCCCTGATGGATCCTCAACTGACACACAAGCAAAGACAGGCTGCATCTTCCTTCTTTTTAGGGTGGCTAAGATCAACCTCAAGGTTTACGGAAAGGTGATCCATCTTTTGGGTGAGACAAAATGAACTGGCCTTGAGAGCGTCAGTCTCTCTTGATTGCCTCAGTAGACCCTTTGTTGGGGCAGCAGGAAGAGCAAGCATTGACTCACTCTCTTAGCGAAGACCAAATGAAGGAACGAGGGCCCTGGGAGAAGCCGCTCACTCGTTTCCCTGGATGGTGGTTGCGGCTCAGGGCACTGGCAGCGCTGCCGGCCGAGGCGCAACTGGTTACACACTGAGGTAGAGCTGGGGGCATTTCCAGAGCATGAGGAACATCGTGGGCATTCGGGGCTGCTCTGAGGAGCCTGGGGATCCACTGACCACCCCCACCCATCCCACTCCAGGCTGCAGTGGTGGGGTGGGCTGAATGCTGCTGTGAGGGGACATTCACATTCTTCTCGTCCCCTCTTCTTCTTCCTTCTGAGATGTTTGCAGGCACTTCCCATTTGCAGAATGGCTCTGTGGCAGTGCACTGCTTTTTCGTTTCATGGTAGCATTCTGCACTTGAGTGATTTTGTCATCTAAGGAAGCCCTGTCTTTGCCACTCTCCCCTTGATGGAATTCAAAAACAAAGCTCAGCACCAAAGAGCAGAGAATGCAGTTCCTAGCCCCCTTCATCATAGCACTGAAAAGCCTTCCATGTGTTTACTCAAGAGTGACCCTAGTTTTCCAGTCCAGCATTTCTTGGGAGTCACATTCTTCCTTTTCCAAAGAGCAAGAGGCCAACAGACATTAGATCTATTCTGGGAATACTTTTAAGATGTTCAAACATTCCTTGGGGTGGTGGGAGGTTGTCTGCATGCTGTGCAGATTAACAAACTGTGAACCCGATGAGCCAGAGGGAATCAAAGGCTTTCCTCACTACAGCCATGTATCCACTTTGGAAGCTATTAGTGGTGCTTCTTAAGCTGAGAACAAATACTATTTGCCACTTTCTTGGAGCTGGACACCTTTCTAATGTAGAAAACTGTACCTTTCTATTGAAGCCACCTTGTCTGGCTGCTCCATGACTGAGTCAGCAGCAGCACCTGGATCTTTTGACTTCTCTTTCCTTGGACTTGCTTTCAAAGGTAGGACACAGCCAAAACGACCTTGTGCTGTGGAGATCAAGGAGGATCCTAGGAAAAAGCAGCTGACACAAGCAGAGGGGTTCTGGGAGGGCTGGCATGGGAAAGGGTGTAACTATCCTTGAGTTTCCATGATTAATTCCTTGGTGATTTTGTATTTCTACTAAACTGTCTTGTGTGTTACTTTACTGAAATGCTGCTTTTGTATTAACTGCTTCACTTTTCTCTCTCGCCCTTCAATGCAGAAAGAAATGACAGAACGAATTTGCCACTGAAGTGATTTTGGCAGAAAAACACAGCTGACTCATTGAGAGTCCAGTGGGACAAGACACCCTCCCTGTGGTGGGACATTTATTCTAAAAGACTCGCTCTGGTCATTTCCATCCACCAGACTATGAAACCTGCAGAAGAGCCTCTTCAGGCCAGGGCTGAAACCTGAGCTTGTTCAACATCTCTGGACATTTTTTTTAATAGGCCCCAGTGTCTGTCATCTGGCTACTATCTAAAAAAGCCACTGACTACTGGAGAACAAGGCAAGTTTGACTGACTTCTACACTCTCTGGTCTCTAGGACCTTAGCCCTAGGTCTGGTGGTATCCATTCAACTACCCTTCCTCTTGTTTTATCCTCAGCTATATCGATCCCTGAGTAAGATACCTGCTCGAGGGTACTCTGATCCTGGTAGCCAAGATCATCCGTGAGCAGATGTGAACTTGGCTACTGAGTAATGCTTGTTACTATCGCCACATAGACTGGGTTTGTTCCACCTGAGGTCAGCTCTGCAAAGTTGGTGAGGTTTGATCCCAATTACCTTCATGAGCTAATACCCAAAGCACCATTTTTAACTGTGAGCTGTGACTGTCTCCTCTGCCCTGACCAAGTCCTGCTTTACCAAGAGGACCATTACTTCCCCACTCCCCCAAACATTCACACTTTGCAAAGTGGACTTCACGACACTCCAAAATGCACCTAGCATTTCTTCACTAGATGGCCCCATGACAGACGGAGGTAAACTAGGCTGTTTTCCAGGGTCATCAGCCCTGTCTATTCTCCAGACTCAGAAATCAGGATAACAAGTGAGGGAAAGAAACTGTTGCCAAAAAAACAAATAGCATTTCCTGATATGTTGTTTTTGACTCAAAAACAGCAGATGTTGGCTGTAGAAACTGTTATCTTCTCATTAGCCAACTATGCATCATAATTAATTAGGCTGGGAGGGACATCAAGAGACATCTGATCTACCTTGTCCTTCCAAAAAGGCAAGATCTGCTCTACTAAAACCTTGTTCCCTGGGATTTCTTTAGCTTGAGAAAGAAACCACCTCAACTCTATTGGTCTATGTCATTATTCCCTTGAAAGGCATTAGTATCACACTTCAAAATTTCTCCCCTCTATACCTCCAATGCCTATTAACTATTGCTGTTTTTCCTGTGACATCCTCCTTTGATAAGAGGTGAGGTCTTTTTTATTATTATTTGGAGAGTTAAAATCAATTTGTCTGAGCCACAATACTGTTACATTTGTGCTTCCTGGCCTTTTTCCAGAAGAGTTTTCTTTACTACACACATCCAATAATTATAAACAGGGGTTTGCCCACTTTTCAAGAAGGGAGGGGGTATGGCTAGAAAATGTCAATGTTATGTTGGCAGTAAAGTGCACAAATGGATTTTTAGTGCCCAAAGCACTTATTTTGATGTGAAAATATTCTTTTTTTTTTAATCTCGTGTACCAGATTTATATTTTTACATGGAAATAAAAAGGAGCAAAATGGAGACAAAACTAGCAACATACCATTCCAACAATTTTTGTGTAAAATAATGTGTGAAAGTCCAAATGTTTTGGTCTGTTACTCATTAAAGAAACATGAATGAGCCTGGTGTCCGTCACTCTTTCCCGATCCTTCTGTAGTAAGTAAGACACGACAAAAAGGCATTTGCAGTAACTTGGAACAGTGGATCCTCCCCAGGAACTGCAGCACTGATGCACCACAGGGAGAGTTCAGCAATTCCCAGTTTTGCAAAAAGTGAACACAATAAAGAAGACTATAAACAGCTGTTGAAAACTGGCTTCGAGCCCAGCCTCCACCAGCAGAGCCCTGGGATGTGCTGCAAACACTACCCAGGGCCTACTGAAAAAGGCCTGATGGAAGTCCTGATCAAGGACACAAGTCCTAATTTTCCTGGACATAGTTACAGATGTCTGTGCCTGTTGCTTTCCACTGACTGGACAGAGGATTTCAGCTCGTGCTGTTTCTCCCCAGCTTGTATCTCAGAAAGGAGCTTGACAAGGGCTAACATAGCTGGTCAGTGTTCCCTCTTCCCAGCTTTTCACTGCCATCCCATACAAAGGTATATTTGCAGTGATGCTCACTACTTTTTCCAAAGGTGTTTGCTTTCTGGGATCTGTGTTGGAGCATCCTCATATAAAGAAGAACCACAGGCACAAACTGCTGTATAGTGCAGAGGCAGGAGGTCTCTATAGCTCTACCAGGAACCTGCTGAGTTCTTGAGAAATGAGGCCTGTTTGGAATTCAAACCCAGCAGCCCTCCCAGCTTCTCGTAATCAGGAAATTTTGGACTTGTGGAGAAACTGTCTCAGCACCAGGGCCTAAGGGGAGATCTGGTAGCAGCTGTGCAGCTACTTGAAGGTGAGGCACAAAGACAACAGTCAACCTCTTCTCAACAGCGACAGTGGCAAGACAGGGCAAATGGCCACAGTAGTGACTTGAGATGTTCAGGAAGAGAATACACCTCAAGAGGGTGCTGCAGGGAGGAAGAGTATGGCCAAGAGGCCACAGAGGTCCCTGCCAACATTTCAATGATTCTTTTACATCCTAAAGAAGACATTGCATCAGAACTTCTGTGTTTAACAAGACTCATTGTGAACAATGCTCATTAAACAGCCACTTGCTTTTATTTTTGCCCTCCACATTATCCTCTGGCAAAGAGTTCCATCAGGCAGTTTTGCATTACATATTAAAAATGGGAAGTTTATTTTGTTTATTTTTAAATATATGCCTGAGGATTTCAACCCTCTCACTTGGGAGAAGCAGTGAATAAGTGTTTCCTGTTTACCTGCTCTGAACCACAGAGCTCCCACAGATTCCTGTGGAGCAGAAAGCACTGAATGTTCCTGAAAGACCCAGCCATAGGCTTGTCTCAGGCAGCAAATTTTTAAAGCATTTAAAAGTGTTTTTTTATTTTCTTTTCTTTTCAACTTGGTTTTCCCAAGGAAACAAAGCTCACCGAATGTGCTATGACAACTGCATCCTCATTAATTCTGGAAGTGGTATATGCAATGAAAGTCTGCACTGCGTTCTGCAGATGAGCGCTACCAGCTTATGATAGACCAGAGAGCCCATGTGAGAGACCATCAAAGCCAAGCAGGTTCACAGGCTCCCCACTGACTGGATTCCTTGTTAGCCATTAAATGTTGTGCAGCAAATTCTGTTACATGAATGAAAACATCTTGTAGCAAGCAAGTCATCTGCGCTGTTCAAGATTTGAGTCTGAATAAGGAGAAAAACCATGTTTGCAAGCACTGTCCAACCCAGAGGGGGGCTGCATGCAAGGGCTCAGTAATTTTGCCCTCTTTCCCCCAGATTCTTGCCAACGCGACGCTTATGCAACGTGGAAGGCAGATCTTGGACCTCTGTGTTCATGGTTTCCCTTTCGCTGGCATTAGCTGCTCTGTCCAGGGCCTTGCTCCCCTCAAGGTCTTCACCACATTCAACCATTCACTTGATGGCTTTAGTCTCCACTGAGAGTCCCCATCTCGCTGGAGGGGAGCAGGGGAGCTGTGCATGTCTGAGCCTCTTGGCTGAATTACTACCACTTTTATAGGGCTAGGAATGAAGCACCAATGCATCCCTGTAGGACCATCCATTGCCAGAAAGGTCTATCTGTCTCCTTCCAAGACATTGAGATATTCCCCTGTTGCTCATCTATCTCAGTGCCTCCCAGCCTGGGCTGTTTTATGCTCGAGTACAGCACAGACGTTTATTAAGTAGGAAGCACAAAGTGTATCTAAGTGAAACAACTTCTTTTGGGAGGCTGAAGGGTGCCCATGAGGACTCAACTTCCCTAGAGCTTCAACAACCTGGCACATTTTGAGAGCAGGCAGTGCCCAGAAATAGGTTAAATATCTGTGCAGCTCTTGTTAGCCACAGCTCCTTGAATGACTCATTGGCTCGGCTGGCTGTGGGGTCCTGGGACTCAGATGTCCCTTTGCAAAGTCGCTGGATTCTCCTGGTGGACAGGAGACATTCCGGGCAGATGTCAAGGCTGACCCACACCACCATGGACCCATAGAAAGGGTGGCCACAACACCAATGATGTGGGGCCAAGGAAGGGGTGATATGGGCGCTGATGTCCCCTGGGATGAAACCTGTCCTTGTCAGGGCAAGAAGCTGGAAGATCCTGGGTGGATTGTCCTCTGACTCCTGATCACAATAACCATGACGTGATCTGGTCAGAGATACCTCTCCCTTGGTGAAAGTTTTTAAGAAAACGTGTGGGAAGGAAGAAAGGAAGCTAAGGTAGAGCTGTGGTTACCAAGGGATAAAATGCTGTTTGTGATGAGAGGTGAACATGAAGTCACTGGGTGTTAGGAAGGGATGAAATGGGTTAATTACCCTAGATACCAAGGAGTCTCCGTTCCTGGAGTGCCTCTTTTGGGGATAGGGGAATAGGCTGATTCTAGGAGCAGTGTTCACAACCAGAGGCAGCAGTGTCTCCTGTGCATGGCTTTTCCCTTCGGGAACTGAAGAATTTGCTAGTGCAAATCGCTTAGATTCCCTCATGCAGGTCAGAGAAGGACAAATGACTCATGAGTGTCAGAAAACCCCGAAGCAAGAATGAGGCAATCAACTCCCTGCTGAAAGGAGACCCTGAGTCAGAGCTGAAATGCCAGCAGTGTGTGGGGGACCACTGAATGCCTGCAAGGACATAAAATTTATCAATAGCAAATGAAGCATCTTGCTGAACAGAGTGCCACCCTGTAGCATTGGCTGGAGGGAAATAAAACCAGAGCATGGTCTGCCTGTGAATTTCTTGCAGCTTAGCGTTTCAGTGGAGGACAATCCACAAGCCTCCAATGAGGCACCAATGCTCTGAGGTACGGGGTGATGCCCACCTGCAAATTGCTTCGGGCCACGTCCTAACTGCGGAGTGAGGTATTTTGCCACCCATCCACAAGGCTGCCAGGTGAGCAGGTGAGACTGTCTGCGTCGGGGCAGCTCCCTGCAGTTGTCTGGGCTGGAGGCCAGGAGCAGAGTGCAGTCGTGGTCCCTCTCCCTTGGGTCTACCTCAT